ATCTCGCGACCGAAACTCGACTCCAGACACGCGCACGCCAAGATATCCGTTATCGCGATACGCGACGCGAGTGACGTGCGGGAACTTTGTAATTAAGCCAAGTTACGAATAAAACAGATATATATATATATTTATTCCAAATACAAAAGTGTCATTTTTATTTATAATAAAATCAGTGAGTTACTCGGGCGGAGCCCGAATTCCCAAATTCCTTCCGGCAAACCGGTGGGATAACAACACTCACCGGCAATGCTTTATCATTTGAGATAATATAGAATAGAAATTTCCATTAGAATGCATTAATTGTAGCAGTTACATAATATAGAAATAATAATGTCTTATAAGTATTACATTTTACTTTTCATTCTAATTAATACATATGTATACTGCAAAAAAAGTGAGAATTTAGATTTTGTGCAACTTACGAATAACCAAATGTGTTAATATTTTATTAATATTTTCAGTAGCAGCTGGTCGTAGCTAGTGGATAGCTAGTGATATACTATGTATACGTGGAATATATATTTGGATACGTGCTTACGTTGGATACCTCTTACGTACTGTAAGTTATCTACAAACTATCTGATATATTACTCATCATAATATATGAAGAAACTAAACAGTTTGCACACTTTTATTTGATGCATTTTACGTTATTTAATTCAATAGGACAATTTCTCATCAAAAGATAAATGCTCTTATTGCATATCGAATGATGCTCTGAAACATATCGAAAGAAAATTATACAAACTGTTTTGCTTCTTACAATTATATGTAATTAGTATATGTTCAGTATATGTAATTATATGAAAAACTTAGTTTATAAAATTAAAACTTATTATATTATATATATTGAAAACGATGAGCTTGTAAATTGTTGTGCCTCTCTGTGGAGGCACGGGGTTTGTTCTGGGATCGTTGGCCACTAGGAGCTAGGGAGCTCAGGATCGAGCAGGGTCGTCTCGCCGTGTCAACAATTATGTAATCGTTGTAAAAATAAAGTCCGACCGATGGTCGTTTCATTCTCCTCTTTTTATTTTTTATAATTGTATATGTTACAATGGCTATTATAATTATTGTTATGATTCCGCTTGTAGCCATTGGATAAACAAATTGTTTTTGAGCAAAGAAGTTCTGTTCGTTGTCTTGTCGATTATTATTTAATTCTTCTAGTTTATTTTTTAATTTTATTAGTTCTGTTCGGTGTAGCGTTACGTTTTCTAGTGTGTCGTTATCATGCGTCTCGTATGTCTGTAGAAACGTGATATTTGTTAGGCATTCAATTTTACCTCCTCTTTTGGTCGCATTTGACCCGGTGACTTTAGCGACATATCGGTAAAGCAGCGTCTAGGGACTTCCTGCCGGTTCCCGCCGGTCACTACTTCACTTCCGTCTCTGACACAGAGGAGAGCATTGTCGTTAGCCACTTTTAAATCACACGAATTCGTTTATTCTATTATTACCACATTACATTATCATCCTTTCTGTAACCTGCAACATTCTGTTGATACCAGAAATAAATGGTGATATAAATCGAATGCGCTGCCCGATAATATAACCTGCTCTAATAGGTTATGGGCCCAGGCGACGCATCGCCACGCTTTTAACGCACAAGGTAAAGTTACACTTTTATCGTTGAGACCTTTACAAGGGCAGCAAGTAAACAAAAAAACGAAAATCGTAAAAAAAAATCAGTGTCGATCCACACACATTAAAACGATCGTACAAGTCAATTTCAGACGCGTGGAAAAACGAAATGGCATACAACTCCATAAATTCAACTCGTCTCGAGCTCTTATCCAAAAGCAACTACGACACATGGAAGATTCAGGCGGAAGCTCTATTAATTAAGAATGACGCATGGAGTTATGTCTCCGGAGAGAAACCAAAACCCATCGTCTCGGCCGATCCAACCATGCAAGCGGCATCTCAAGCAGCATACGATGCATGGATCACCGAGGACCGCAAACCTAAGTCCGATCTCATTTTGTCCATAAACCCGTCCCAGCTTAAACAAATTAAAGGTTGTGAGACGTCTAAAGACGTCTGGGACAAATTAGAGTCAATCTACGCATCCAAAGGACCAGCACGTAAGGCCACTTAAGGCCACTTTTGAAAAATATTATGTTGCGCAAAATGCCAGAAGGTGGAGATGTGAAAGACCATCTAAACGACCTTTTCGACGCAGTTGACAAATTGCAATCAATGAACGTCGAAATTAATGGCGATATGCTCGCCATTATCATATTATACAGCCTTCCAGATAATTATGACACATTTCGATGTGCAATGGAATCGCGCGATGATTTACCGGACGCAGAGACACTGAGAATAAAAATAATTGAGGAAAGCGAGGCCAGAAAACAAAAATCATCCGATCACGCATCTAATGCCCTATTCGTAAAGCATCAAAATCAACACGCCTTTAAGAACAAAACAGGGAAAGACAACAGAGACACGTCGTCTTCCACGAATAAGCGAATAAGATGCAACTACTGTAAAAAGAGCGGGCATAAAGCTACCAATTGCTTCGCCAAAAGAAATTCGGAGCAGAAGGCAGGCCACGCAACGGAAACGGTATTAATGACTAGCGAGCAGGACAAATCGAAAGGATGGTGCCTAGACAGCGGCTGCACCTCGCACTTATGCAGCGATAAGGATCTCTTCGTCAACACTATTTGGATACGTGCTTACGTTGGATACCTCTTACGTACTGTAAGTTATCTACAAACTATCTGATATATTACTCATCATAATATATGAAGAAACTAAACAGTTTGCACACTTTTATTTGATGCATTTTACGTTATTTAATTCAATAGGACAATTTCTCATCAAAAGATAAATGCTCTTATTGCATATCGAATGATGCTCTGAAACATATCGAAAGAAAATTATACAAACTGTTTTGCTTCTTACAATTATATGTAATTAGTATATGTTCAGTATATGTAATTATATGAAAAACTTAGTTTATAAAATTAAAACTTATTATATTATATATATTGAAAACGATGAGCTTGTAAATTGTTGTGCCTCTCTGTGGAGGCACGGGGTTTGTTCTGGGATCGTTGGCCACTAGGAGCTAGGGAGCTCAGGATCGAGCAGGGTCGTCTCGCCGTGTCAACAATTATGTAATCGTTGTAAAAATAAAGTCCGACCGATGGTCGTTTCATTCTCCTCTTTTTATTTTTTATAATTGTATATGTTACAATGGCTATTATAATTATTGTTATGATTCCGCTTGTAGCCATTGGATAAACAAATTGTTTCGTTATTTAATTCAATAGGACAATTTCTCATCAAAAGATAAATGCTCTTATTGCATATCGAATGATGCTCTGAAACATATCGAAAGAAAATTATACAAACTGTTTTGCTTCTTACAATTATATGTAATTAGTATATGTTCAGTATATGTAATTATATGAAAAACTTAGTTTATAAAATTAAAACTTATTATATTATATATATTGAAAACGATGAGCTTGTAAATTGTTGTGCCTCTCTGTGGAGGCACGGGGTTTGTTCTGGGATCGTTGGCCACTAGGAGCTAGGGAGCTCAGGATCGAGCAGGGTCGTCTCGCCGTGTCAACAATTATGTAATCGTTGTAAAAATAAAGTCCGACCGATGGTCGTTTCATTCTCCTCTTTTTATTTTTTATAATTGTATATGTTACAATGGCTATTATAATTATTGTTATGATTCCGCTTGTAGCCATTGGATAAACAAATTGTTTTTGAGCAAAGAAGTTCTGTTCGTTGTCTTGTCGATTATTATTTAATTCTTCTAGTTTATTTTTTAATTTTATTAGTTCTGTTCGGTGTAGCGTTACGTTTTCTAGTGTGCCGTTATCATGCGTCTTGTATATCTGTAGAAACGTAATATTTATTTCTAGTAAATAGGTTTCTATATTTGTTTCGTATACTATTTTTATTGACTGTATCGTCATATCTGTTGTCGTTAATTTACATTTTCCTTTTAATGTAATTTTTCCTGTATTTTTAATTATTATTTTGTTTTCGTGTCGATTATCGCATTGTATTGTTATCTATTGGTCGGTCGCGGTCGCATATAACCATGTGTGCGGCTGTTGTAGTTTTGTCCAGATCGCATTTTTCGAGCTTATCAATTGTGTGTTACAATTGTGTTGTCGTGATAGTGTATACATTTGTATTTCGCACGGTGCGTTTTGATTCATGCGATATATCGGTATCGTATTTTCACACGTATATTTGGAATTTATATCTATACAATTTTTTAAATCGCTTTCCGTTATTCTAAGATAAGTTAATTTTTCCTTATCTATTGCAATTATTTTATTATTTATTTCGGTTACGGTAAATATGTTATTATTCATCGGTACGGGAAATGTAATTACATTTATATTCCAGCTGACGAGTATCCTGTAATATTATATACTTTAGTTTTATTTCTCGCGATGATATCCCGCGAGTGTCATTGTTATCGGTTAGTATCTTTTTTCTGAGATGATTTTTCTGCATGCTTTTCGACGGGTCATTTCGTTTAGTATTCAGTCTCCTTTCGACGTTCGTTTGGTGATATACTCGGTAGTAGTCATGGACTCTTATAATTTTTGTTTTTGGTGTTTGGAATTTGTGTCCAATTCATCTGATTTAGTATGCAGGGCGTGCAATGATTTTACTTTGTGCGGCTTTGCTTTGCCGCGCGATCCGTTCGAGCGGGCTTGTGAGGCCGTATATCGAAGTACGGAGCCCTTTTTGATCCAGATTTCTGTGGATTGTGTGAGTGGTCATCGTACTGTGAGTGAGGTGGTGCCGTCGTGCTCTCGATCGTATGCGTTATCCTGGTCGTTCCCGCAACGAGTAGGGTAAGTGTCCCTATTAATTTTCAATAAACTGCTTCAGCTTATATGTGTGCATGCGGATTGCTTTTCTCCCCTTTTTTATCGTGTAATTTACGTCTGAATTCTTTTCAATTATTGTATATGGTCCGATCCATAAAGATTCGAGTTTTTTAGATCGTCCGCGTCGGAGTGTCTCGTCGTACACTAATACTTTGTTACCGACTTTAAATTTTATTTCCCTAGTATTTTTATCGTATTGTTGTTTAGCTTTAATTTTTTCTTCTTTAACATGCTCTTTCGCGAGCTGATTTGTTGCCCGTAGTCTTTCTTTTAATTCTTGTGCGTAATCGTCGTAATTATATGTCGGCTTAGGCTGTCTCGTCAGTGCCGTAGGTAGATCGGCTTGGTGCCCGTAGACTAATTCAAAGGGTGTATATCCCGTAGCTGTGTGTGGCGTCGTGTTATACGTAAACATTGCGAAGGGTATCCATTCGTTTCTTCTTCTATTGCGAGGACTTCTCGCTCTTCTTCTGTTTCATGTGTGTCTCTTTTTACATTGCGGCTCAGTGCATCGGCGTTCGCATTCGCTCGTCCGGCTTTATGAATGATTTCATAATCATACTCCTCGAGCTTTAATCTCCATCGGATTAATCTCGATCCGGAATCGTTTACATTAAATAACCAGATTAATGGTTTATGATCGGTTATACCGTATACGTATGGCCTAAAATGTTTTACAGCCCATACAATTGCTAATAATTCTTTCTCTGTTGTATTATTCTCTGTTGTATAATTCTGCTCCGCCCGCGATGAAACTCTGCTGGTGTAAGCAATTGCCCGGTCCTTGCCTACTTTTCCTTGTGACAATACTGCTCCGATTGCATAGTCGGAGGCATCGGTGGTCACTATAAACTCTTGAGTAAAGTCTGGATATTTTAGCACTGGCGTCGTCATTAATTTTTCTTTTAATATTTCAAAAGCATTTTGCTGTTCCATTGTCCACTCGAATTTTTCTGTTTTCTTCGTTAATTTAGTCAGTGGCTTGGCTATTCTTGAGAAGTCTTCTATGAATTTTCTGTAATATCCGGCTAGTCCTATGAAAGATTGTATATCCTTCACTTTCTTTGGCGTCGGAAATTCTTTTATTGCCGTTAATTTTGATGAATCCGGAGATATTCCATCCTCCGAAATAATGTGACCTAAATAAATCATTTCCTTGCGTAAAAATTTGCATTTATCCGGCTGCAATTTTATATTATTTTCTCGAAGTCTCTGTAGTACTTCCTTGAGTCGTTTGTTGTGGTCTTCTAGGCTTGATCCATATATAACGATGTCATCCAGATAAACTAAACATTTTAGTCCTTGCATTCCTGTCAAAACGGAATTCATCAATCGCTGGAATGTTGCTGGCACATTCGTTAATCCAAACGGCATTCTATTAAAATC